TCGCAAGAACCTGGTATAGACTATAAGGAGACATATTCGCCAGTAGTGCGATATGATTCAGTGAGAGTTGCCATGGCGATAGCTGCTTTTGAAGATATGGAGATGATGCAATTTGATGTAAAAACTGCGTTTTTATATGGCGACCTCAGTGAGGAAATTTATATGAGTATTCCAAAAGGCATCAATGTTACTTCCGGTAATAATTTAGTTTTGCGTCTCAAAAAGGGTCTTTACGGCCTTAAGCAAGCCTCTCGTAATTGGAACTCAAAATTTACTAATTTTTTACAAACATATAAAATGAAGCAATCCAGATCCGACCATTGTGTCTTTTATGGGAGTATTCAAAATCGTAAGATTATTTTGCTTCTATATGTTGATGATGGGTTGATAATATCTCCTAGCAAAACTGCTTTAAATTTTTTTTTTGAAAAATTGTCAAGCAATTTTCGTATCACTTATGGTGAAAACAATTACTATGTTGGACCTGAAATTCACAGAGACAGATTAAATAAAACTATTAAAATCTGGCAGCGTTCCTATATATTAAAAATACTTAAAAGATTTAATATGGATGATGCAAAAGATATTTCAACACCAAGTGACAGTAATGTGTATCTTTCGAAATCTAGCGAGGAAGGCAATGTAAAATATCCATTCAGAGAAGCTGTGGGCTGTTTGATGTTTGCAGCTACTGTATCCAGACCTGATATTTCGTATGCAGTTGGCGAAGTTACCAAATTCACCGAAAATCCTAAAAACTGTCATGTACAAGCCGTCAAGAGGATATTTCGTTACTTGAAAGCGACAATAGACTACTGCATAGAGTACAGATCAGGTAATGCTCTTCAATTTGAAGGCTATTCTGAAGCAGATTTTGCTCGTGACATCGATACAAGGCGATCTACAACAGGCTATGCGTTTCTCATAAACGACAGTGTCGTAACCAGGAGGAGCCATCGTCAAAAAACGGTTGCTTTGTCCACAACGGAAGCCGAGTGTATGGCCGCGTGCGAAGGGG